GGAGGAATATATAGGGGTTGATATGGGGATACACAGGGAGATCAGCCACTGACTCCACCCCCTTCTCTCCAGTAGGGAATATATAGGGGAACACATGGGAGATCATTCACTGACCTCACCCTCTCTTCCCCAGTGGGGAATATGAATATGGGGGTAGACAGAGAGATCATACCGTGACCTCACCCTCTTCTGTCCAGTGGGGAATATATAAGGGGGGGTTGAGGAATATAGGGGTACACAGGAAGATCATTCTCTGACTCTCCCTCTCTCTCCTCAGCTACAGACATGACTAAGTTGGCACAGTGGCTGCTGGGATTGATCCTCCTGGGCGGAGCCTGGGCAACGCTGACCTTTGACCTGCTGGGTCTGGAGCCGCCCCGGGCCTGCCGGGAGGTGGTCTGGCCCTTCCCCGTCTACCTGCTGGTGGCCTTCGGCTGTTACTCTCTGGCGACTATCGGCTATCGCGTGGCCACCTTCAACGACTGCGAGGACGCGGCCCGCGAGCTGCAGGAGCAAATCGGCCAGGCCAAGAAGGAGCTGAGCCGGAGGGGGATGAGCTTCTGAAAGGGCATTGTGGGTCGAGTGGGCGGAGCCATCACCTGACTGCAGTGACTAATGTTGGAGGCGGAGCCATCACCAGGCTGCACAGTGATTACCTTGGGGGGTGGAGCCATCACCAGATTGCGCTGTGACCAACCTTGGAGGTGGAGCTATCACCAGACTGCACCGTAACCAACGTTAGGGGCGGAGCTTCTCGCACTCAGTAACCCTCTTAGCCACCGGTCACATGGTTCATCAGACAGGTCCTCTTCATGACACACACGGACAGGCCAGGAGGCGGGGACTCCATAGGGAGCACCACATAGAACTGTGCAATCACAGCTGCCCATCCAATTCAGGGTTAGGCAACCTCGGCCCTCCAGCTGTGATAAAACTACAAATCCCATCATGCCTCAACCTCTGGGAGTCATGCCTGAGTCTTGCACTGCCTCATGAGAGTTGTAGTTCCACAAAAGCTGGAGGTTGCCCACCCCTCATCCAATCTGATCTTTGTAGCCATGCCCACTTCCTGTGGTTGAATGTCAGGTGACCTCTGCCGCTGTGAGGTATACATACAATTCCTCTTACAGGTAGCAGATTGTACGGATGTGATCTGTGTGCAGCTTCCAGCGGAGCTCCTGCACACCAATCGAGTAATAAACGCTTAAGAGTACAAAGCTGATTCCAGTGTGCTTGTTGTTGTTGGATGCAGCTCTGGGGAGGTGACACGTTGCCCTGTAGTGGTGGGCGGGTCATCATTCATTGTAAAGTTGAGAACGCCCCATGGTCATCTCTCACCAGTGTTGGGTAAAAGCTTTGGGCCCCTCCAGGCCACCATCTATATGTTTATTGGGCCCCCCCCCAGGCCACTGTTTATACTTGTAAAGGGCCCCTTTCAGTCCACTGTTTACATGCCTAAAGGGCCCCTCCAGGCCACAGTCTACATGTGTATAGGGCCCCTCCAGGCCACCATCTACATGTGTATAGGGCCCCTCCAGGCCACAGTCTACATGTGTATAGGGCCCCTCCAGGCCACCATCTTCATGTGTATAGGGCCCCTCCAGGCCACAGTCTACATGTGTATAGGGCCCCTCCAGGCCAGTCTAAATTCATTTAACCCCTTGCTGCTGGTTCCCATGGCCACTCTGGGGTTCCTGAACATATAATCGTTGTGATACACTGTTACATATATGTGACGTGTCCCCTCCCCAGAGTGCACAGAGATTCTAGGCGGGCCCTGAGCTCCCTCCCGTGAAGCCTTGTGGTTGATCGGGCCCTTGCGGGGAGGCCGTGTCATATTTGGGGTCCCCATAGCAGGCAGTACACGTGTTTTGGGTTGCTGCAGGTGATGTACGTCGGCCATGTGCAGCACTCCCCATGTCTGCTGTCAGTGCTCCTACCCAGAATCCTCCAGGGCCTTGGCAGGGCAGCGCTTGATCCCGGACTCCGTCACCTCACAAGCTGGAACACGTCTCCTGTAATCCAGCCTGTCCCTCCCGGGTGCTGCTCTTCCTCCTTCCCACGCCAGCAACCCACAGCTAGTGCCAGCACATCCACCCGTTCTCCGCACCCAGACAGGAAATCTCACCCAAAAGTCATATTTCAGTGTTGGGTGCTGAAGAAGAACCCCCC